CAGCCTATGGACTGAAGGGTCCTGGGTTCGATTCTGGTCAAGGGCACGTGCCTGAGCTGCAGGCTCAGTCCCCAGCATGGGGCATGCAGGAGGCAGCCAATCAATGATTCTCTCATCATTGATGTTTCTATCTCTCTCTTCCTCTCCCTTCCTCTCTGAAATCAATAAAAATATATTTCTTAAAAAGTTATTTTCAAACTAAGGAGATTTATTTTAAAGTAAAAAAAAAAAAGGGGGTGGGTGGGTATTGTACCCTAACTGGAACGCTGATATGGGCAACAAATGTAAAAACATTAATACAGCCTGGCCAGTGTGGCTCATTGGTTGAGCAACTATCTATGAACCAGGAAGTCACAGGTCGATTCCTGTCAGGGTTCAGGCTCGATCCCCAGTAGGGGGTGAGTAGGAGGCAGCCGATCAGAAATTGTCATTATTGATCTTTCTTTCTTTCTGCTTAATATATTTTATTGATTTTTTTACAGCGAGGAAGAGAGAGGGATAGAGAGTTAGAAACATTGATGAGAGAGAAACATCAATCAGCTGCCTCCTGCACAACCCCCACTGGGGATGTGCCTGCAACCACGGTAACATGCCCTTGACTGGAATCAAACCCAGGACCTTTCAGTCCAAAGGCCGATGCTCTATCCACTGAGCCAAACCGGTTTTGGCTCATTATTGATGTTTCTATTTCTCTCTCTCCCTCTCTGAAATCAATAAAAATATTCCTTAAAAACAAACAAAAATTAGTACAACAGAAATGAGAACAGGACAGTCACTCTCACTGGCTAGGCTGTGTCATACCAGGATATTTGCATGTGTTCGCACATTAAAGCCAGATTAGCACCCGCTTGAGGCTCTCCTTGCTGAAATAAGCTGGATGGAGAGGGAGAGGCGATTCCTTTCTCAGGGTGGCTCCATGTAAGCCTCCCCCATGACCATCCCACCCCCTGCTTTAAGCTCACTCTGCCCTCTGGAGCGTCATTTTCCAAGCCCCCTTCCCCTTTCCCCGTTCATGAGCGGAGGGGATGCACAGAGTTCCCTTTGTGAGTGACGGGTGGTTCTGGCTGTACGGTAATGGGCTGGGGCCCCAGGGGAGGGCCAGGGGGTTGTTAACGGACTGTTTCTGTCCTCCCTCCTCAGTTTGCTGAGAAGTTCCAGGAAGTGAAGGAAGCAGCGAGGCTGGCGAGGGAGAAATCTCAGGATGGGGGAGAGCTCACCAGCCCTGCCCTGGGGCTCTCCACTCACCAGGTCAGCACTCCCTGTCCCGTGCCTGCCCGCAATACGGGGAGGAGAGGGGGGTCTGTGCCGGGGTGGTGATGTGCTCGTGCCCAGGTCCAGATGCTCACACACTGTGGCGGGGACCACGGAGGAGGGGAGTGTGGGTGCCATGGAGCATGTCAGGAGGAATGTGACCTAGCTTTGGGGCAGGGAAGACCAGAAAGCCAGCTCACATGGCCGAGGGGGTGGAGTAAAGAACTGGTCCGGGCCAGTTTCCCCCAAGACTTTACTTAGTGCGATTTATTAACCACCTACTGTGTGCCTGGCCCAAGGCTGGACTGGGGTTAGAGAGATGAAAAGGCAGGCTGGCCCCTGCCCTCAGGGCTCCCGAGGTGAATTCATAAGAAATTCAGCATGGCCGAGAGGGCTTCCTGCAATGGATGTTGAAATTTGGCCCCAGAGGGGTACTGTTCCTAAGGTTCCTAAGGTTTGCTCTCCCCCCCCCCCCCCCCCCCCCGCCCCGCACATTTCGAGTATCTCTGAGTTTAGACCACATGTGTCAAACACAAGGCCCGCGGGCCAAATCCGTCCCGCCAGGCCTTGCAATGTGGCCCATACCGTGCTGTCATCACTGCACTCCCCTGCGTTTCCATCACAATGACAGTTTATGACTGTTCAGTAAACCATTCGGCCCGCAATTTAGGCTGGATTTTAGATTTTGGCCCCTTCTCTGATTGAGTTCGACACCCCTAGTTTAGACTGACCTGCTGTCAGGTTTGCTGCTGGGGAGTTGGTGAGAGCTCAGGCAGGCAAGGTTGAGGGCCAGAGTCCAGGACTCTGGTCTGGGGGGGGGGGCCACGGGGAACCCTGGAGGATGGGTGAGAGGAGAAGGATGCCTGCTCTCAGCCATGACCTCAGTAATATCAGTCTTGACCTTAACCATGATCTTCTAACCGGTCATTGGCTGACACCCCCCCGTGACCCCGCTTCTGTCCACACCCTTAGGTGCCCCCGAGCCCCCTCATCAGCACCAATGGTCCCCCCAGCGACGAGAAGCTGTTCCGCAGCCAGAGCGCGGAGGCCCCTGGCCCCGCGGAGCGGGAGCGGCTCAAGAAGATGCTATCCGAGGGGTGAGGGGTCGGGCGGGGTACGGGGTCGCGGCAGGATGTGGGGCTCAGAAGCCGCCCAGGCGCGAAGGGCGGCGGGTCTGACTCTGGACCTAAATCCTGGAGACCCAGAGGCAGCTAACCCCAACCATCCTGCCCCTTCCGGAGTTCGCGAGCCCACCCCGCCCTTGCACGCGCTCCGGCTCAGGCCCCGCCTTCCGAGGGATCCTCTGCCCCCGCCCCGCTCACACCCCCTCCGGGGAGTTCTGCCCGCGTGGCCTCCCAGCCCCACCCCGTTCTGGCTCGGTCCCGCGGGGGCCCACGCCGGGCTCCGCCGCATCCCCATTGTCTCACTGAACAAACCCCCGGCGCCTGTACTGACCCCGCCTGCGGCAGGGATCGCGCCGCCCAGTCCCATTCACTCCTCCGGCGGAACCCGCCTGCCCCGGGCTTTGGCGCCTTGGCCACGCCCCGTGCCCGCCCCTCCTCGGCCCATTGACCAATTACCAGCCCTGCCCGGTATGGCCCCGCCCCCGCCGGCTGCTGCCCCGCCCCTAGCCTAGCGCGGCGGCCGGCCTGGCTCCACCCGAAGCCGACCCCTGTGTCCCCGCAGCTCCGTGGGCGAGGTGCAATGGGAGGCCGAGTTCTTCGCGCTGCAGGACAGCAACAACAAGTTGGCGAGCGCCTTGAGGGAGGCCAACGCGGCCGCCGCCCAGTGGAGGCAGCAGCTGGAGGCACAGCGCGCGGAGGCTGAGCGGCTGCGGCAGCGGGTGAGGAGACCCTTCTTCCCCCTCAGAGACCCTGAGCCCCGGGCAACTGTGGAGCCTCTGCCCGAACATGTCGCGTCTGTCCTGGGTTCACCAACTGGCTGTGTGATCTCTATAGGTTACTTTCCTGAGCCTTAGTTTCATGCTCTGTAAAATGGGTCTGATTTAGAGCCACCTCTCAAAGGGGTGTCAGATCTTAAAAGTTCCCTGCCAGGGCTGGGGTGGTAACCTCAAGCAGAGGGTACAGACTGAGCAGAAGGCAGATTCCCCAGAGAGTTGCTGACCATCCTGTCCACCCAGGTGGCTGAACTGGAGGCCCAGGCAGCCACAGAGCCGATCCCAGTCAGTGAGAAAGAGGGGCCAGGCCAGACGCTGGAGCAGCTGGAGTCCTTAGTGCAAACCAAGGACCAGGTGAGCACTGAGCGTGAGTACCTGTGTCTCCGGGCCTCACCTTCCCTGACCTCCCACGGGAGAGCCAGGACCCAGAACACCCTGGGAACTCTTCTCCACTAGGAGATCCAGACGCTCAAGAGCCAGGCTGCTGGGCCCCGCGAGGCCCCTGACGCCGTGGATCGGGAGGAGACGCAACAGAAGGTGCAGGTGTGTGTGGGTGCCAGGAGATGGGGTACATGGGCAGCCAGCTTCTGGGGTGAGACAGACTTGGTATCTTCCCTCCTGGCTGGCCCCTTTTAGCCTGTTTCTCCATCTATACACGGGGTCAGGAAGACATCTGCCCTAAGGTGAAGGATTGGGAAGAGCAGATTGCATGGAAGGTCTGAGGTTGTTTGTAAACAGTTGTTATCCATACAATTGGTTTTTAGATCCATTTACTCAACAAGCAATTTTTGAATCCCTGTTGAACTTTCTTGACCCCATCAAGTCCTCACACCTCCCCAGCCTGCATTTCAACACAGTTCTGGCTGGCCTGGCTGTTAAAAACTTTACCCAAGAAACATTCGTGGGGCCCTGAGATGGGGCGGGTATCAGTGTGTCTAAGGAACCACAAAGCCAGCGAGGCCGAGTTGGAAAGAGAAAGAAGGGGACATGGATTTCATCCCCAGCCTGATGGGTCACGGGAGGACTCTCAGAAGAGGGACGCGATCAGTTCTGTTTGACTTGGCTGGGGGTCAGGGAGGACATGGAGACGGAGGGGGACTCGGCCCACGGTGGGAACTGTGGAGATGGCACTCAGAAACAGATGCCCCAGTCAGGGCTGGTAACCCTGCCCACCCTCCCCCTGCAGGACCTGGAAACCCGCAACGTGGAGTTGGAGCACCAGCTGCGGGTGACGGAGCGCAGCCTGGAGGAGGCGCGGGCTGAGCGGGAGCGGGCGAGGGCCGAGGTGGGCCGGGCTGCGCAGCTGCTGGACGTCAGGCTGTTCGAGCTGAGTGAGCTGCGGGAGGGCCTGGCCCGCCTGGCCGAGGGTGCGCCCTGAGCTGGGCCTGGCCGCCGGTCCTTGTAGGAGCTGGAGCCTGTGGGAGCAGGTTCCACATGGATGCTTCCCGTTTGGGGCCCGGGCTGGCCGCAGGCGGCCCAGCAGGCCACTTGCCCTGGCAGGGACCAGGGCTGACAGCCAACGGAGGGCCTGGCTGCTTACAGCTCAGGGGCTGTTGGGGGCTTTTCATTGTGTAAGATTTCTAGACTCTCCACCAGGGCACATGCTGGTGCCCAGATTACATTTCTAAGCATGACTGTGTGTGTGGTGTGGACACTAAATGCCGTCATTGGACCTTCTCCCGTCTCCTCTCCAATACGTCTTAGCTGTCCTCTGTTCATGTAGGGCTGGAAAGTCACTTGAGGTGAGCAGGATGGGGTTTAGAGCCCAATTGGGGAGCAGTGCCTAGGCCACTCAGCCTCCTCCACCGCAAACAACTCCACCTCAGCCTCCTCCACTGCGAACTCCTCCACCGCTGGCCCCTTCCCCTGGGGCTCAGCTCATGTCTAGACCAGTGTTTCCCAACCTTCTCTCATGATGAGAATCACCTGGTGGAGTTGTTAAAACACAGATTCCTGAATCCCAACTAAGAAGTGCTAAACTAGAATTTTTGAGAACATATAGGTAAAATTGCATACCTAACTTAAGTATACAATTTTACCTATATGTTCCCAAAAATTCTAGTTTAGCACTTCTTAGTTGGGATTCAGGAATCTGTGTTTTAACAACTCCACCAGGTGATTCTCATCATGAGAGAAGGTTGGGAAACACTGGTCTAGACCAGTTTGGACTCAGGTGGCCCTGGTTAAGCCTCCCTTCACTCTGGCTGCAAACCCTCAATTCGATGAGGTGGGCAGGCACTAAAGCTGGACCACAGCCATGCTCTGGAGAAGAGGATGCTCTCCCCAGCCTCATGGCCACGTTTGAAGGGGATGCTTTCATAGCCTCATGCTTTGTCCATTTTCTTTCTTTTTTTAAAATATATTTTATTGATTCTTTACAGAGAGGAAGGGAGAGGGAAAGGAAGTTAGAAACATCGATGCGAGAGTAACTGATCAGCTGCCTCCTGCACACCCCCTACTGGGGATGTGCCCGCAACCCAGGTACATGCGCTTGACCGGAATCGAACCCGGTACCCTTGAGTCCGCAGGCCGACGCTCTATCCATTGAGCCAAACTGGTTTCAGCGCGAGGCAACTGAGACCCTGGGGACTTCATCAACCCAAGGTCACCCACCTGGAGCAGCCAGCACTGCAGTTCAAAGTTTTGGCTGGCCAACAGGAACGAAGAATTGGGGGGAGAGGGGGGTGTCAGAGTGACATGAGGTTCCAGGGGACTTAAAAGGCACAGGGAGCCATACCCTCCTCTCCTAGTCCTATTCCGAGTCAGACGGTAAGGCAAAAGACCTGTTTATTATCTCCTGCAAATGACACACCTTCACTTTTGGGTCCACAGCTCCCCCTCCAGTGGTCCTGGCTGGAGCCACTGTTTATGGAGATGGGCCAACCACATGGCCAGTGTTCTTCCCTTTACAGCTTGCCCTGGCCAAGGCTTCGAGAAGGGGCCAGCTGGGGCCACAGGGTAGAGCAGCCACGTCCTGCACAATGTGGGTGTCCATGGGCTCCACTGAGGGGGGCTGGGCAGCCTGGGCAGGGGAAATCTGCCCTCCAACACTCCACCCCTCAGTTTGATGGAGTCTTCGGCTGAGCCCTGGGTAGACGGCCCCTGTGGCCAGCCCCCCCGGCCTTCTGCCGCTGCAACGCCTGCTCCACCTGCTCCTTGAAGCGCCGGTTCTTCCGCTTGATCTTGGCCAGCTCGGCCTTGCGCTTGGCCTCCAGGTCAGGGTCCTGGCTCGGGGAGGACAGGGAGGTGGCTGAGCTGGTTATGCCCGACCTCAGGAACCTTGCCTCCCACCTGCTGGCTCAGCCCTCACCTTTCCCTCCAGGATCAGCTGCTTCCGCTTGTTAATTTCCTTCTTTTCATCAAAGTTGGCTGCCTCAAGTTTCTGGGGTTGGAGGGGAGAGGGAGAGGCTGTCATGGGGGAGAGTTCCCATCTTGAAGGGAGCACCCTGGGTCCCAAGGATCAGCTCTTGGACACTCACAATCTCACATTCTCGCCGCACCACGTTGACCTGTGTGAGAATCTGCAGCACCTCAGCCTCCTCCACCGCGAACTCCTCCAGCTTCTTCTCTGTGGGGACACGGGGACACACACACACACGACAGGGAGAGGGATTTCAGCCAATAGTGAGTTCCCAGTGTGAGTGGGGGGTGGGGCATGCAAGGTGTCTGGGGGTCTTAACACGTCAGGTGGGCAAGACCTGGGACCTAAGTAAGATACAGACTGCTCTTTTGTGTGTCTGTGTGGTTACCAACGCTAAGAAATGGATTGGAGGAAAAGTACTTTTTTTGGACAGTATTCTTTAAAGTCATGTTGCTTCTGAATTTGAGGACAGTCACTGGTGATTACACATGCCTCAAAGTCCCTGCCCTCAGACGGCCATTATGGGGAGCTTCTCTTTCAATAACTGGGTGAAAGAAACTCCTCTGGGGGTTATATAGGAAGGAGAGTGAAGTCTAAGTTTGCCTGAGTGAGAAGGTAGGTGGGTATCCCACTCCTGCCCCTTACTCACTGATTTGCTCCTCGATGGCATGAACCAGGTGGATGTCATACTGTGTCACCAGGGTAATGGCCTGTCCCTGCCGCCCTGTAAGGACATACCACAGTCACCTGCTATGTGCCAGGGGCCAGGATGAGGGGCCAAGAGACAGGTCAGGGCTCCTCTTGAGAGGAAGAGAACTTGGTGGGTAGGTGGGGGCAGGTGAAGGAAGCCTGGGGTATCGGGGCTTGGCCCCCAGCAAGACCTGTGTAGAGGTGATCTGTCCCAAGAGCGCTGCAGGACACCAGGGAGAGGTGGCTCTCTTGCGGGCTTGGCCCTCGGAGGCACGTGATGGGGCTGATTCCCTTTTTGGCATGGCCGCCAGGGAGCCCAGGCTGTTATGTCAGCAATAAGCCGGGACAGGCCTCAGCCCGGATTACTGCATGCCAGCTTCTCTGTTCCATTTCTGGGACAGTGATCAGTGCGGGACCTGCACTGACAGCTGACAAGGCCCATGATCCTTGGAGCAGCCTCAGACAGACATCCTGTTCTCGTTACCCATCACTGGGCAAAGCAGTAAGTCCCGAAAGCTGATGTGACCTGCCTGAAGCCACAGGGCAGAAGCGGAAGGGGCTCCACCAGGCATGAGAAAATCTCACAAAGGCAGTGCCTCTCTCTGTTAGGGCTGGGGATCAAAGAGATGGATGCCTCCTTGGTCACTGGCTAGGGTCACAGTGAGGGGTTAAACTTGGACACCAAATCCCACAGGCAGCATTGCATCCACCAGGGCGCACGCAGCCACTCACTGCAAGGTCCCAACTGGCAGCCCTGAGAGCTTAAGAGGACTGAAGTGAGCCAACAGGGACTGATGAGGACTGGGGCAGTATATGCTGTGTCCCCAGAAGACAGATGTACCCCCGTGAAAAAGCCAAAGTACCCCACCTTTACTTTTAAAAGGACAGTTCCCCAATAGCTTTCATTTGGGGCTGTATCCCCCCGCCCCCCCAAATGCCCCACTAGCGCATGACTCTGGCTCCCCACGGTGGGCTCCCCAGAGGCCATCCCACCCTGTCCACTCACCTGCACGGGCTGTCCGGCCGACTCGGTGGATGTAGATCTTTGGGAGCCCGGGGGTATTGTGGTTGATGACCACCTGCACTGTGGGGATGTCCAGGCCCCTAGAGGCGGAGGCCGATCAGCACCACTGTCCACACGGTAAAACCCAGGCTGGGACTGACCCAGGGTCACTTAGCAGTGAAATGGGCTGCCCAATCCTTGCCCGAGCCCAGCCTCCCCCTCTGGCCCTCTGTGGGGGTGTCCCCGGGCCAGCACACAGGAGGGAGTATTCTGGGCTGCTCACCGGGAGGCCACATCTGTTGCGATCAGGATCCGATAGATGCTGGACTTAAACTTGGCCAGGGCAGCAAAGCGTTCTTTCTGAGCCGGATGAGGGGAGAATGGGGGTCAGATACCATCTTAGTCAATGAGCACTTATTGTAGGAGGCCTAGGCCAGGGCTGAGGCCAGGGAGGGAGAGGACTGGAAAAAAGCCAGACAGGGCACAGAGGGTGGCAGGAAGAGTGCCCAGGCAGAGGGAAGAGCCTGGCAAAGGCCCGGAGGCTGCGAGAGTCTCGGGCAAGGAGGGCGGAAGGGGCCGCCTCACCTGTTTCATCATAGAATGCAGAGCCACCGTGGGGAAGTTGAACTTGCGTAGCATCATGCACAGGACCTGGCAGGTTCTGGTGGGAAGAATGCACTTTCAGCCCCTACAAAGCTGGGGTCCTGGGAAAGCGCTCTGCCCCTCCCCCCGCCTCGGACCCCAGGCAGGTGCCCCTGCAGAGAGGTAAGGACAAGCAAGCTGCAGGGTGTCTTGCCCGCTGACATCCTCTGCTGACTCCTCTCCTAGCCTAAGCCAGCCACACCCAGACTTTTCAGGTAGCCAGTAAGTCCTTTGGGGTCCCATCAATGTGGAATGGACTGCCCACCTACTGGCTCGTGTCAAAACAGCCCACAGCGTCTTGACAATCCCTTCACCTGCTTCAGAAGAGTCCAAAGTCCCCTGGGCTGCGGGGAGCACAGCCCCGGGTGTGGGTGCTGCTGTGCTGGGCCTCAGGGACCTCAGACCTAGTGAACAGGCTGCTCCGAGGATGGGACAGCCTGGCCTTTCAGGTTAAGGGCAGATCTGAGGACCCCCCCCCCCCCATTCCTGCTCCACGTTTAGAAAAGGTCACCCTGGTGAGTGGCTTGTTCTCTCTGAGCCTCTTTGAGCAAATCTCCCAAGACCTCCGGTCTGAGCAGAGGCCCCGGAGTGCGGAGACTGGCTGTGGCTCCCCGTGACCTCGGGCCACGGTGGGGCCTCCGTGGGAGTCTGCGGGAAGCGGGCCCAGTGAGCTCACTTGCATGTGTTGGTGAAGATGATGATGGACCAGTCTTCATGCTCATCCTGGAACTTCTGGATCAGGTGGACCAAGTAGGCATCCTTGACCTTCTCAGGCACCAGCAGGTAGCGCTGGTCTAGCTGTTCTACCGTGCGCACCCTGGGAAGGGGTAGGCCTCAGTTTCCCCTTCCTTTGAATTCGGCCAATGCCCTGCCCACCTATGGGCAATAATCCCCACTGGGTGTACTGGGTGTAACTCCACCACCACCTCTGTCTGCCACCCTTCACCCCCCAAACCCCAGAATGTGGCTGTGGACTCACGGGGCTTGAGCCTCCCAGAAGAAGGGCTGGTTGGTGGCCAGGCCCTGCAGCTCCTTAAGTGTGTCAGTCAGGGTGGCACTGAAGAGCAGGGTCTGCCTGCGGGCGGGCACAGCTGCCAGGATGGCTTCCAGGTCCACGGTGAAGTCAGTGCAGCCCTGCTCCAGCAGCCGGTCTGCCTCGTCCATCACCTGCAACGCCAGCAGCAGTGGGCAGTGGTGGTGGGTCTGGGATGAGCGTGCTGTCCAAGGCTGGCCAACCTCCCCCATGTTCCTCCTTCCCAGCTCTGACCGTGAGCCTGGGACACTCTCCCTTGAGGCCTTGGAGGCCCTGCTCCCTCACCTGTCTCAGCTCCAATGTCACTTCCCACCCACCTTCACTGGGTCTACCTCTGTGGGTCTCTGAGCTATCTGGAAGTTCCTAACATTCTGCTGGATGGCCTGTGGGACACGTTTTCCAAATGGATGAGTCAGTCCCCAGGCCAACTCACCAGGAAGCGGATTTTCTTGATGCTGAACGTGTTGGAGCTGCGGAGGTGGTCAGCCAGGCGCCCTGGCGTGGCGATG